TGGTTGTTGCTAGTATCTTTTGGAAGCTACTCTGTGGAAAACAAACGTGCAGTAGTCTTCCTTTTCTAGATAAAAACTATATCAACATCATGAAAAGTTTTTTTTCTGCTTCTCTGTAAAAACATCAAGAGTATAAAGAGTCACATCTTTCACTGGTGCGCTCTCTCACTCTCTCTGTTTTCCCCCTCCTTTTCCTGTGCTATAATTGTGCATTTTTCTGTACCTAGGGGAAACTATGTATTTTCCTGCCTCTTTGATTCTATCTAGTATGCACTCATTTCAGAGACATTGTAGGAAAAAAAAATTGGAAGACGGAGGGAGAAGAAGAGGAAAGAAAAACTTGGGTGAATATTACCTTTTGAGCACCATGTCTAAGACATGCATATTACTCTAATAATATGTACCAAAAAACTCTACACCACTTGTATCCCTGAATGTGATGAAGTTTGGATCACATTTCAGTTTTAGAATTTTAGTGAATTTGCAAACACAAAAACTAGTGTGAATGACATGCTGAACTTTTCTCTCAAAGCACTGATCTATATGCCAAAATGTCTACATCTTAAGAAATGTTATTGCTGTGATAATCCAAATATATATCAAACAAGGAAAGTTTTGTGGGAGGAGGAAATACATGTTTTATTCATCCAGTTTATATAGAGGAGAAAACTATGAGATTTGGCAGAAATAAATGGCTTTTTAGTCATATGCAATAGTAAAGAAGCATATCAAACACAGTGGAATAATTCACAATTCACTTACAGTCTTTAATGTAAGAACTACTAAGAAAGGGGTTATAGTTAAACAATAAAAAAATCTGTTCCAGGAAATTTTCATGTGAAATGTAATTCAAAAATTGTACAAATACATGGTTAACTTTAAAGTTAGATTTTCACTAGTGGAACATGTAAGTGTTGCATATATGTAAAGCCTTATAAAATAAGGGCCTTGTTGCCCTTGTAAAATCATGCTACTAAAAAGGTCTGCTACTTCAGCTAAGTAGAAGAAGACTATGGGAGAGTAACTCAGCTGGAATAGGGGTAGAGAGACGTGAGAGATGTGCTGTGTGGCTGCCACATGACCACATTGTAGTGTATGGTGGTTGGCTGATGCTGGTTCTCGGCTTTAATTTTCCACTTCCGTCTAGGTTGGGATTGAAGGCATTGAGAGGATATTTCACATTCAGGCTTAGATGTTTATTTTTTTCTTATCTATGTTACAGTCTCACCAGCAGTGAGCTCTTAAATATTTCGCTAACAAGGTACAAAATGGCTTACTATCTTTTGTAACAAGGTGTTATAAGTCTAAACTATACAATTAAGAAATGACACCTAAATTAATTTCACTTTTAACCCAATAACTAATCACTCAAAGTCTGCAGTGCGGACTTTTTGTCCAACTACAAAATACCACCCAAACCCATTAAGAAGGAAGAAGACGGTGAAGAAGAAGGAAGAAGGACCAGCCTCTGCCCTAAAACCTCCATCTTGCTCCCACTTAAAACAGTAGATATAGGACATGTTAAAAATATTAATTTAAAAAAAAAAAATTTAAATAAGCAGCCCATAGAAGATGGTTGCTCCTATAGTGTCCTGATGTTTGTACCTGCATGACGAAAGAGTATGAGAGGCATGAAAGGAAATTGTGACTCATCAGATTGGTAGGGTCCAATATAAGAATAATGAAATAAAATCTCTGGTAGCCACACTTTCTGTTGTACTTCAAATGACTCACTAGTCTATTTTTAAATCGGTGTATACTGTTCCTGACACTGAAGATTACATTGTAACCAAAAAAAAGTTAAAAGAAATTTAAAATAAATACTTTTCTTTCCAGAATAATCTGTGGTAACAGTATTTCGATTTGGACCATGTAGTTCATAGCATACAGCAATACCTGATTCAATAACAAAACAAATTAAAGGAGACTCTTTGGTAAGTTCTTTAATACAAACAAAGGCTCTCAGTATTGCTGTCATAAGGATATGATAAAAGAAAAAACAAAAGTATACAAAAAAATCCAGTGTTCCTTATTCTTAATTAAACTACTGAAAGGAGTCAAATCTCATACTGGAAAGGATGACAGTTTCTGTCAAGAAACAACCTTTGACTTCAGAAAGCATATTGCAGAAACCATTTCAAAGTGGGTTATTTAAAAGTGATGACAGACCATCAGGAGATGCTTTTCTCCCCTCTGACTATTGAAAAAGCCTCCACACATTTTGTCTTGTAGGACTGTTAAATTTTGAGGTGACTGAAATTGGGAGTGATTAATTTGTTCATTTTTTCATCATATATGCAAAGAATGTCTGATGTCTATGGTGAGCTGAGAAGAATGATTGGCTATGTGGAATGAAATTAAAAATTCGTATATAACTGTGCTATAATATTAACACAAATTTCCATTAAGGCAACTTTTCTTGAAGTAAAACCTAGAAGAAATAATTGTGATTTTTTTTTTTTTTGTACTGAAGCTTTGTTCCTGTGTCAGTCTCAGCAAAACAGATCAAACCATGGGTTTTTAAAATAAATATAATTTTTGATTTTTTATTTTTATCTTTCTTCAGTCTCCATGTGCCAGGAGCCATTTTCTGCTTTCCCATTTTCACTATCAATAGTAGACATTAAAAAGATCTGCAGGTAAATAACAGTAATATATATACAGGATGAAATTACTTATGAAGAACCGACATATGGCCATGCTAAAACATGATTAGACAGACTGTGATGTAGTTCTAATTCAACAGGATGCTCAAACCACAGTGGGATGCAGTTGGTATCAAACACAACTCTTGCTGTTCCAAAACTGGCAAATTGTGAGCTGTTCTGTCATTATAATTTTTTGCTTAACAGGTAAGTACTATTTCTATTCCCTCACTGATCCAGAAAGACAGGAACAGGATAAATTCTCTCTCCATTTCTTCCTCAAAACTGTCTTTTTATTCTTACTTTAGGGACCAAAACAATGGCAGGAGGGAGGAAGGGAGGGTGGGAGGAAGGGTGGAAGAAAGGGAAGGAAGGGAAAGAAAGGAAAGGAAGAAAGGCAAACAAAGTACATCCCTCCTGTATATAAATCTCATGAGATTGTCTTACCTATGGTAACAAAACAGGTTACAGAAGGTGGGGGTAGCAGGAACCACATTAGAAACTCCCTGTGGAAAAGAAGGTGCAATTACTTTCCATTTCTGCAAAGTAAAATGCTGTTATCTAGATGAGGGACAGCCCCTGTTGCTGTGAACCACAGTTAGTTAAACAATACCAGTAGGGCTGTCATGAGCACAGAGTAGTGCCACTAAAGGCTCTGGGGAACATAGTGCAACATGGGTGTTTTGTTTGTTTTGGGGACAGGCGCAGAATTTTGTTCTGGTAATACTTTTTAAGCTGTCTTATATTCATCCTTATTTTTTCATTCCTATGTTATGATTTTTACCAGAAATTCCTCCTCTATGCAGAGCTGCTTGTTAGAAATCAATTTTTTAGTTGGGGTGGTCTCAAACTGTACACAATCCATGTAGGCATCAGTAGCAGTTTGAGAATTCCTTTCTGCTGAGTGCTATGTCTTTGCTTACATGACAATTTTTGGTTCAGGATTGCTGCTTTTAAAAGCTTACAAATTCAAAATAATCGAAGTAGGTTGAAGAGAATTGGATGGGAAGGATAGAAATAAAAGTAACTAGATGTGGATGAAAAATTCAGATGTCTCAGCAACTCATATACTCTTCATTGCAGCACTTAAATAGAATTTGTACTTTCATTATGGTATTCATATGCTTTCTCAATATGTTATTACACACCCTAGCTCTTGCCTCAGCTATAAAGACATTAGACATCCTTCTGATTTTGACTCTGTAGGCATGTATCAGTATCTACTTAAACATGTGCAAGTTTTTACTCAAAATTTATCTAATCCTCAGCAATGAGTTATGCAGTGCAAGGCTGTTACATGTTTGTAATATTGTATATTCTACCTATTCCTGTGGGATACAGATTTCAAGAAAGATGACTGTACTGACTATCAGATGCATGCAGTGGAAAAATTACAGCTTTAAGCCTCCTTCAGTATTAGGTATTCATCAAATTTTTTGTACTTTTTGTACACAACAATATTTTTCCTGCAATACAGAGAACCACATATAAGAATGATGTAGTATATATCTAAATTTTGTTTCCTTTGCTTTTCTTGTAATTTAATTCAAGAAATTGCAAGGCCAAATCCAGTTGACCTGCAAACCTCCCTCCAAATCACTTCAGTGGAAAACATCTTCAGTGCCTGGTATTGTACTACTGGAAATATATATTATAGTAGTGTGAGTGTGAGAGTGTGTGTGTGTGTGTGTGTGTGTGTGTCTGTGTGTGTGTGTGTATGTACACTATATATAGCTGTCATTTAGAAATGAGTTTGGAATGCTGTTCTTACAATTCTGCCAGAATACACAAAGCTTCTGAATGGAGATGTAAACTGCATCTGGTGTTTATACTGTATCTTACAGAAGCCAGTATCAATTCTATATACAGAACATGGCAATAACCATTCTTAATAATGAGCAGCTTCTGTGGGCTGATTCGTCTACAGAACATTGTGTTACAATCTGATTCCTTCACAGGCTTTAGTACGCTTACCATTACTCCAATAACAACTCAGATCTAGTGGATTTCCTCTAATTTGCAGTGGAGATTGGATTAATCTGATTCTGTTCAATATATTCATCAAAGCAAAGAGGGAAAAGGTTAACTTTTTCTATTTAAGGGAAAGCTTTTATAAGGAAAATGGCCATTGTTGTGCATGTTCATTATGAAAATTGACATAGCATTCACAACACAGACTCTTGACTAGCTATGGAATGTGGGTTGTGACAAATATTTGGCCCTTCATTTTAGCAACATGAATTTAAATGGCATTGGTTTCCTATGCCTTGTCACAAAATAGTTTGTTGTATACAAAAAAAAAAAAAAAAAAAAAAAAAAAGAAAAGAAAAGAAATATGTAAAAAAACCCAAAACAAAACAAAACAAAAAACCAAAAAACAGTGTAGAACAGCTACAGTTATTTGGCTGAGCTGTGTGTTTACAGTACCCTAATTGCCTCATTTCAATGGCACCACCTGTCAGAAAAACAACAATAGAGCCTTCATAACCTCTACTGACTTTACTCTTAAGTAAGTTAATGCCTGACTCGGAATAAAGTGCTCTAGCCTTGTAGCTCCTAAAAATACCATTATGAACTGTGGATGCTCAGAACCCCTTTCCACTGAGCCGTGAATCTTTATTTGTGTGTGTTTGCTTTAATGTGAAGTTGTCAATATTGTTTGCACAGAAAGTTTTGACACAAACTCTTTTTCTTCTGTTGAAAATAAGTGCCTGTTTCATAGCTTTAGCTTGTAAATTCTCCACTGCGGAATCTGTCTTGATTTTAATGCCCTGGACAAGGCTCATAATAATGTTGTTTTTATGTAAACTAGAAGTATAACCTTTTTACAGCTTCCTACAGGTACTGTAGAAATTCCTAATCATGCCTCGGCAACAGAGAGCACCACTAAGCTTTGAAAAAAAGCAGAAGTAGTCACCAGACAAACTACTTTCCATAACAGTTCTAGTTGGGAAGGAGGCAGGGTACAGCCAGACTGAATCCAGTCTCTTTATACTTTTAGCCCTATGTACAAAGGAACAACAATCTGGGACAATTAAAATACTCACATGCTGTTTTCTGATTATAGTTTGAAGGGGTATGAAACCTTCATAGAATAAACTAGACACTGCTCTGCAATGTGAAAATTTATTTAGGTTAAACACCTAAACATTTGAGATTTTTCCAGGATATTTCTAATCTCTTTTAGTGTGTCTGGCTTAGAACCAAGATGCCAGCAGTGGATCACCTTGAAATCTGAACTCACACTTCATCTGGTCCCTGTGGTGGTCATCTTTGCCTTTCTCTGAAAATTTTCAAAAGTTTTTATCTAGCTGAAGAGATTATTTTGCTTGATTTATCTATCTTTAAATTACACAGATGGCTTTCAGTTTTAAACAGAGTCTGGGGCCAGAACTTATCAGAGATTCAGGTAGCAGAAGGCAGGAGTTATATTTTCCCCAAGCACTAAAGGAAAGAAGAAAATTCAAACATAATGAGGCAATACAGACCCATACTACAATCTTTCAAGCAAATGAAACATAACCACAGAAAGAAGCTGAATTTGAAAGTCATGTTAAATACAGCCAGACAGGTGCACATAATACACTGGGACAGTGAGATCCATTCTCACTAGAAATTTGTAAAACTCAATAAAATCTTTCTAAGAGTTAGTTCCCTCCTGTGTTAAGTGGTGCACATGCCACAGCCAAGTCCAGCATCATAGCAGAATAGAAAATACCACGTCTGAACAGTAGCAATTTATTTCAGTTTGGACAGACTTTTTATTACATTCAAACTGATTTTGCAATTTTGGCTTTGCTTCGGTCAACTACTTACTTCTCCAATGAGTTAGAGTGGGAATTTTATACCCATGCAGATAACATTTGCTAAGGCTGTGATGCAGGCACCACTCTTAACACCACAGGAGCTAAGTGATTCAAAGAAATATGATGACTCTGCTGAGATTTTCATTGAAGCAAGGGGAACCTTGTGCTTTAGTAGTTGTAATATTGGATGGGAAATGTCAGAATGAAATCAGTCAGTTTCTGGGTGCTTTAAGAGAGATTAATTGAAGCAAAAATTTCATTTTCCTTTGAAAAAGAATGGAAAATTCTCTACCTATCATTCATGGAAGGATGATTTACTTTTTTCCAGCTCTGTCAGTCAGAGGACCCTTGATGCAAGTAGATGAATCAAAGACACTTTATCATCAATCGCGGCTAAACAGTTTTAGAAGTGTTTTTCCCTGTGTCCCCAAACAAAAGACGTTGTATCATTACAATAGAAAAGACAAAACTACAACTTCAAAAGCAGAGCACAAATTCAGCTGCACATGTTTCATTGAAATGAGTGGGAAAATCAACTTGGTAAACAAATCATTGAATTTGTATTTATCTATCTCATTTTTGGTCTTAAACTATCTTTGGGTTTCAGAGATCATCATGGAGCTTTAATTAAATGTAATTTGAAATCTACAGTGCTGTGCTGAAGGCCCATTCAGGATGGACAGCCTTTTGGACAACGGACATAAAGGGAAACAGACCCTGTGTTTTTAAATGAACTTCCTAATGAAATGAAGCATTATGCCACTGGGTAACTAACACATTTATCCCCCAAACCTGACCCCCACAAATATAGATGCAAATTGCTTGAAGATTAACACACAAATGTTTATTCTTGAAACTTCCTAGACCAGTTTAGTGGCATGCATATTCATATCAATATTTTGAATCTAGGTCTGCACTTTTACTGTCTCAACAGCAGCAGATATGATGATGTAAATATATTCATTTCTATACTCAACTCCCTGGTTAGGGTTGAAATTTTGCATTATTCTACTCAGCTGTAGGACAGGGTTTTTCACTTGTTCCTAAGTTGCAAACAATTTGAGGTAGATATTGTCTTGGTTTGGTTTGGGGTTTTTTTCATGTGCCAATGTACCTGTTGCACAATGAAGTCAGGACCAAAGCTTGGGGCTGCTGTGATGCTGTGACACTGCAATGGTAACATACTTTTTGCTCTGAAGCGTAGTGCTGTTACTGATTATTCCACTATATCACCTCATCAGTTTTCTAGCACTGGTTGTTTTTTTTACACTAATCTGCCAAAGAATTTTCCAACTGAAGAGCTAGCCCTTGCCATACAGTTTCAGTTTACAGACTAGTGTGCTGTCCTTCAGAGGTGAAAAGATCTCTCAATGCTTTGCCACTTTGAGGACAAATGATTTGCAAATTATGTTTCAAAGAGTCACCAGTCTAGGCATCGTCAATTGCTTTAAAAATGAGAAGCTAGGAGAGGAATTCTGCTTATGATGGAGTACCATTACTCTCATTGTATGCCATTAACCACATTTCTACATATCAATTAAAGCTGAAGATTGGGATGTGCCTACTTTTAAGTAGTTTTGATACTTCAAAGTTATGTAAACCTTGCAGTGTGTCACACAATTCTGAAACATTTCCAGGTAAACAATTGCCTCTACATATCCAGAAATTGCATTAAAGTTTTATGAATGTTTTTCTCCTACTTGGCCTTCCTGTATTCCTGTTTTTAATTACATTGTTTGAAGGACAATAGGTGAACTGAATTCTGTACGCATACATACCTCCAGGCTCTGTGGAAAGAGCTCCTGCTCCTGAATTTGATGGACTAGACTCTGGCCACTAGCCGTTGATAGAGCAGTAAATGGAGGTTCTGTACAGCATGTGCAGAATGAGTACAGCATGTGCAAAATGAGCACAGCATGTGCAAAATGAGCAAACTTCAGCTGTTTATGTCTGGTCATATGCCTTTTGTGCTTCGGTGCTAAACATTGTGGAAGATCTTTCTGCATCATTCTTTTGTCTGTGGCCAAAGGAGAACAGGGACTATGTTCATGGCTTGTCAGGTTACTTTCATTGTCTCATCATTCCTCCCAAGGATCCTTTCAGAGAGAGTCATTCACATCAGCCAGGCATCTGGTTTTTTGCTGGCCTGTTGGATAAGTTTCCAATCTGTTTTGTTTCGTACATCCTCCTCTGCACAGTATAAACCCAGAGATAAGGCAAGTTGTAGTAATGTCTTCAACATCCCTGATTCTCACAATCTGCTATCTCAAGATTTATGGATATACAATTCCCACAAGAAAGAAGGACATCTGTTCAAATGTTTTCCTGACATTTTTTGAAGTCTATATCAAAAAAATGTTCATCTTTTTAACAGGCATACACGAGGCTTAAGTTTCTGGTAGTTTCCATGGTTTCAGCTTTTGGAGGCCACTTGAGGCTGTTCCCTTTTCCTCCCCGGCCCCCCGGGACCCCTCTGACTAGCTGTCCCTCAGGAGACCAAGGTTTGCTGCGGTCCTGCTGCTCTGGGCTTACCAGGCAGCGGCTGGGTTGGCGCGGTCCGAGCAGCAGCGTGCCACAGTCGCAAGTGGTGCACCAACATGCGGCCTGGCACCAGTTCGAGTGAGCCCACCGAAGCCACTGCAGACAGCCCACTGGCTAAAAGCTTTTCCGGACGCTTTGCTATCTGCATCACCATGAGCGACAGAGCCGTGAGCGGTGTGAAAAAGCCACTGCACAAGCTGTCAGCTCCACAGGGAGAAGCTTTCAGATCGTGCTGGTGGTGCGTGCATTTGCCTTGCCGCACAACCCAGCAGGACTGTCACTGCAGAGACAGAAGTGCCAATTTCTGTCTGGCGCAGTTTTCACGGATGCGGACAGCACCTTCCTAACACCCGGAAGACTGTCTGCGGAGACAGGGACCATTACTGCAGTGTGTTTTCTGAAGAACGGCTGTAGGTAAATCTTGGTACTGGCTGGGAGGGGTCCTGCCAGGAGACTGGAGGTAGGCTCCTGTGCTCCCGGGGGGGACACGCCAATGCGCAGGCGTGGTGGGAGTCTCCATTGGGTCTTTAGAACTTTGGGGTTTTCGCTGCAGAGTGGATGAGATTTTGCTGTGCAGCCAGTGATATGGGTGTTACGCTGACTACACAGCAGAAAGATATTTATAAACAAGTTCAGGAACCCCTGCAGAGAGCAGGTGCAAAATTTTCTAAGAGCCTTGCGAAACAGTTTGTCAGATGGTTGTCTGTAAGTTTTCTAGAGGTAAGAGAGCAAGATGTGAAAGACAGGCAATTTTGGAAGCGTGTGGGTGCAGTGTTGAGTGAAAGGACAAAGGCAGAGGATCCCTCAGTGAAAGAAGTTTTAGGAGAATCTTTTAGTTGGTTTATGACATTGTGAAAGAAAGTGCAGACACTAAGGACGCTCAGGGAACAGAAAAGGGTCCTGTCGCATCCCCCGTAACCCCCCGCATCCCCTGCTTTGAAAAAACTAATCATGCAGATGTAGATCCAGTTTTCAACCCTTCTCCATCTCCTGATTTCGCTCCCGCAGCTCAGAATCCATGCTTTGCCCCCTTCCCCCCGGCCCCGTGCAGCCACCACAAGATAGAGGCGGCCATGCCACATTCCCTTCTTCATCCCAGAATTCCTTGCTCCCGGTGCCAGCCCAAACCACATCCCTCCCTTCGCCCAATCCCAAGCCCTCCTCCCTTGCGGCAGTTCAGCCCAAAGCTCCTCCCCTTGCAGTTACATTGCCACCTCCTGCCCCCGCCCCGCTCTACACAGCTCCACCAGCCGCAGCCACTCCCACACGAGCCCGCCCTACCTCCTCCTGGTTCCCACGGCAATGGCTGTCGGCTCTGGGAAACAGAAACCGGTCAGAGATCCCATTTTTCTGTTCATGGCTCCAGTTATTTATAATGCGAGAGGACAGAACCCTAGGTGGGAGCCCCTTTCGTACGAGAGTATAAGGGAGCTCTGCAAAACAAAGCGTGAATTTGGAGAAAGGAGCAAATTTTTTAAGAGCATTTTAAAAAGCTACTCTAGGCTCCAAAACACTTGTCCCTGCTGATTTGAGACATCTTTTTAGCTGTTTGCTCCCTCAATCTGAATTTAAAATGTGGGAACGAACTTGGAAAAGGCTGGCAGGGGACCTGCTTCCAGAGATTTTGCAGAGTCCAACCCATTCCACAGATATAGCGGATGAAGAGATCACTTGAGAACATCTAGTGGGTGAGAGTGATTGGAGCCAAGCTGAGAAGCAAGCAGCAGGCATTCCCAGACTGGTGTTAGACCTGACCAGGGATGCAGCAGAACGTGCATTTTTTAACATGCCTTCTAAAGAACCTGTCATTTCTTATATCGCTTTAAAAGCAGTCTGTTACATTCATGGATTTTGTTGATTGAGTGAAAGCTTTGGTCGAGAAAAGGGTGCAAAATCCAGAGATCCAAAGATCAGCTCACACTAGAAATTGTCACCACAAATGCAAATTAAGCCTGTCAGCGAGTCATCATGGCCCTTCCAGCATCTCCTCCACTGACACTCGATCAGCTCATTGAGGAGTGCACGAGAAAAGCTACTACTGACAGAGGACTTGGTGATAAAACCGCTGGAAAAGGTGGTTGCAGAAGCAACGGCAACCCCGAAAACACCAAGGGCTGCGAGGCCTCCTGCACCCAAACACTGATACTATTTCTGTAACCAAGAGGGACATCTCATAGGCCAGTGCCCCCTCCAAGGGACAGTGCCTTCACAAGGGGGAAAAGTGGGAGTGGGGGGGAATCTCTTTCCTTTATACTGGCAGAGCAAATGATATCTTTTTCAGAGTTAGAGTTCGTTTACCTTGTTGTATGATTTTATCTTTCTTTCAGACTAGGAGAATGTCAATTTCTACATTCCTGCTCATCGTTTAGTCTCAGAAAATGGCCATCTACCCATCCACGGTGGATGCGTGGATGTGGGACTCAGATTCAGTCAAAGAAAGAAACTGAGAGTTTCTAGCCAGGCAAAAGCCTGGGAAAAGAGCTGGGAAAGAATGTAAATAATTGTTTAATCTCTCTTGTTCTCACACTGTTTATAGTGAAGTTCTATTACTGTGCATCAGGCACTCTGAACCAATGTAGATTGTTTTCACTTTAGGACCAATGGATTTAACCTTTGCGAAGCTCTGTATAAAAGAGCAGTGTATTTTGAATAAATTGGAGTTTCACTCTCACAGCCTTCTGAATCAGAGTCTTCTCATTCCCGTCCTGCCTCGACAGCAACACATGGATTGTTCCACAGCCCAGGAAAAATGTGTGGGTCACTCTTGCCCAAGCCTTGAAACAGGAACACATGTGTTTGTCTACTGCCTCAGAAGAAAATCCGATGTCCACATGTTTAGTAGGGGTTCCGAGTAAGAGGCAAGAGTTGCCTACCAGTCTGGTCCACTTGCAAAACCAGTTGAATGAAAATAAAACACCTGATGCGTGGGCAGAGTTCTACAGGTGCCGAGGAATCATAGAACAAGTTAAAATACCGGTGCAAAACCCCCTCATTTTGTGGCAAAGATGGGTCCTACACTTGCCCACTTCTGAAGGAGAGCCCCAGGAATTAGAACTACTGGGCTCTGCAAAAGCTGAATACTGCATTCAATTTGATTTTTCCCCAACCAAAGAGATAAAACTACATGAGCAAGTCAAACAGTACAAGGTAGAATTGAGAGTGGGTAAAGGGTGCACAGTTGTCTATAAGCTGAGACTTGCAACCACCACTGATTTCCATCCCCGCAAGCTGGACAAGAGAGTGTTTCTCATCTGTGGGGACAAAGCATACCCAGGAATCCCCTCTCGTCTTGTTGGAGGTCCATGCACTCTCGGGCATCTTACCCTTGCTTCCCCCAACATGACTCAAATTCCAATCAGGCAAGCAAAAGGTGAGGCAAAGATTACTAAGCGGAGTGCAGGTCAATTTGATGAACATTGCGATGCTGAAATTTACCATTGGGCAAAATCCAAAAGAGTTGCCGTCTCTGTGTTTTTACCATGGGTTGTGGCAGCCAAAGCATTGAGTGAATTAGGCGATCTAGAATGCTGGGTGAGGAAGCAGGCAAATTTAACATCAGCAGCCCTGAGTGACCTCCTAGAAGACGAGGAAATAACCAGAAAGGCTACCCTCCAAAATTGGGCAGCTATCAATTTCCTGTTGGCACATGGGCATGGATACAAAGAGTCTGAAGGGTTGTGTTGTTTTGATCTGTTATCTAAAGGCCAGAGTGTCCACTCGTCCATTCAGGAGATGAGAAACCTCATTGGGATTGTGAAACAGGAGAATGAGGATTGGTTTAGGGACCTGTTCAAAGACTGGGATCTTCCTGGGTGGCCAGTGCCTCTTTTAAAAGACATCTTTTACTTTCTGGTTGCACTGTTTTTAGTTTTGTTAGCATTTGGGATTCTTAAGCAAATCATTTCCACGGTCACCACCTCCAAGCCTAAGGCCTCCGCACCTGTTATCATCACTGCTGCCATCACAGAAGGCAATTGGTGGGAGGATGACAAGCAGAACAACACAGCAGTTTGAGAGCCACAGTTTCACATGTTCCCAAAGCACTGTTCATCTTATTAAATAAAGAAGAGGAAGATGTTGCTACCACGCTGGTGCGGTGGGGGAAGGGCTTTGGAAGGGCTTTGGGAAATGGAAACTGAGAAGGATTCATTTCTGTATTTCCCCGAGTTTATAGAAAGTTTCATTTCAGCATTTTTCTGTAACCCCCCTTTTCCCCTTCCCGGAGTGATTCCCATTGGACCTAACCCATGGGGTGATTCTGATGTGCCCGGGCTGGACACTGTCTCTATTGTTTGGACCTTATCTCTTAATTTTTCTGTATAAAAATTGTATCTGGGCAGCCGCCCAGTGTCTTTTTGTCCCTGTGGCGTTCAGGCAATACAATCTCTGGACTGCACACAAACGGACTTCTCTTTGTCTCTTTATCCCAAATCCTTGTGGCAACTGCGGCACGCCGCTGCTGGGACCGTGCCAACCCAGCCTCTGCCTGGTAAGCCAGAGCAGCAGGACCGCGGCAAACCGCGGTCTCCTGAGGGGACAGCTAGCCGGAGGGGTCCTGGGGGGCAGGGAGGAATGGGGGACAGCCTCAAATGGCCTCCAAAAGCCATATCCCTGGACTTGCTCCAAGAGATCCATGTCCTTCCTCTGCTGGGAGCCGCCCAGTGCTGGATGCACTGTTCCATTCAGTTGTGGAAGTTCCCAGGTCGGTCTTGCCAGAGCAGCGTAGAGGGCAAGAATCACCTCCCTCATGTAATTGTATCTCTAATGCTTATGTATAATAGGATCTACTTCAGGGGAGTATTAATGAAATTAATTGGTTGATGTTTGTGCACCCAGTGTGAACTGGTATATGAATATAAGCTATTGTTCTTAAATTGGTTATTAAATTTCCCGTTCACACATATCTGGGACTATGAACTTTTCCAGGTCAGTATTTCAACATTTTAAGAGCAAAATGATTGTATTTTAGCTATGGACTATAAATCACAATCCAGTATGGGTGTCTACCTTTTGTTTTTGTATAAACACTGACAGGTCCTTTGGGGCTTCTTTTTGTTCATTCCCCACCCCCCCCCCTTTCCCTCTGCAACACTTCTGATTTAGCTGTGAAACTGGAGACTTGAGTCTGCAATTCATTAGTATTCAGAAACTAGAAAGAACTTTTTTAAAGAGAAAAACTGTTACAATGTGAGAAAGAATGGATTGATCCTCAGCATGGACATTAGGAAATAAAAATGGAGATTTTTGTGGAAGGAAGGAAATAAAAATGGAGATTTTTGTGGAAGGAAGGAAGGAAGGAAGGAAGGGAGGGAGGGAGGGAGGGAGGGAGGAAGGGAGGAAGGGAGGAAGGGAGGAAGGGAGGAAGGGAGGAAGGGAGGAAGGGAGGAAGGGAGGAAGGAAGGAAGAAAGACATAGCCTGCAATTAGAGCAGTTTCAAAGAAAATAACACACTATCTTTTCTTGCTTCCTGGGAGATACGTAGGCTGCTTCACAATTGTCATAATTTGAGCTGCAGAATTAACAACTTGTCTTGAAAGCTATTATAAGTGCCATTAGGACTTAATTAAAAAAAAAAAACAAAAAAACAACACCAAAAATGTCTAATCTTCACTTGTATTGCTTGCTTCATATCAATGGTAGCCCTAAATCATAATGATCAAAAACTAGTTTTGTCTTTCAGCCACTGTGCCCTTAACTTGCCTTTGAGTTTGCTTTCAGATTACAGCTCCTCCATCATCAGCTGACTCTGAAAATTATACTGGCTCTGCTGACAGAGCCCACTGTTCATATGTCCGAGGGAACTGAAACTGAGGGAGCACATTTGCCAGGGATTTTCAGAGCTACATCTCCAATATTGCAGGAAGCTGACTCAGTCAGTAGACAATTGACAATGCTTCCTAAGAAGAATCCTTAGTTCTGTGGGTTTAGCAAAAGCGAGTGATGGATATTACCCAATACATTTGTGGGAATAGCTGTAGTTAATGCAGCATTCACAGTGAACTGACATTCTTGCATCTGCACAGAGAAGAGCCAAAATTTTTTCCAGGTTAGGAAATTAGGTCCAAAATATAATGAAACATAATTTCATTCATAAATAATTTTCTACAGGGAGAATTCAGTAAAAATGCTACAACATAGTTTGCAAAACACAGCAAACCGCATCACATTTGGAATGTGTTTCTTTTTTTCTTTTTTTTCTTTTTGTAGTATTTAAAATATACAATTATCTGTAGATTTGCTAATATTATCAAGATGGGTAAGTGTATTTAGTGCAATCCTCTCTCTATATGGTGCTGCTACTGTCAGTCAAAGCCACATACCAAAAGGAAGGCTGCAAGCAGGAGCTGAAATATTTTTGCTTGCAACCTAAGGGATGCCTGAGGTGAGTCTGTGGTGTTAAAGCAATTATAATTAGCTCCTCCTGGCTTTCCTCACTAAAAGAAATTGAAATTCAATTGACTTTCAAAAGAAATAGTTGTGGAGCAGCAATTGTCATTGTAATGACGTGAATTTCTGTGTCAAGCAATTTTCAGAAGCCAAGAGAAAGTGTTGTTGCAAATTAGAATATGATCTAAGAATGCACTTTATGGAGGCAGATATGATGAATTTCATATGCTCAGTAGTAGGCTGAATGGTGTTGTGCAGGCTGTGTGTCTACTGCACAAAGGACACAGGTGTGTACAGCTCTGCCAGGTGCTGTGATATCTGGATGATAACTTCCTTTTTTTGTAGCACAATAACAGTATCTTCAGCAGTAAATCAGAGGCTGAGGCATTTATTGTGTAAAAAGATGGATATTTAAAAGGTATCTGGAGATTCTAGGGGTACATTTTCTGGGCTGATTTTAACTGATAGAGAGCTCATTAGCTCAAGACAGATTATACAACACTCTCCTTAGTCAAGTCATTTCACCTGTTAGATATTCGCACTGTTAGGAAGCTTTTCTCTACCTCTAGTCTATAGCAATATAAGCCTACTTCATTCCTGGAAGATGCAATAAAGAAGTTACTCTCTTATTTCTGACTGAACATTTTTCAAATATATTTTTACTATTTAAAGCTTTCTTTTGTTCCTTTAGTCTGCTCTTCTGTAAAGATCTCAGTGAGTTAAATATTTAATCAATATTTAATAAATATTACAGATTTATTTGTTTCTCCAACAGCTCAGAAGTTTTATTTACTCAGAATATCTGACACTGTCAGAGCACAGATTGATACTAATAATATAGACCAGAATGGGAATACTCAGGTATTCACTTTACTGATAATATTCCTCTTTGTATTTCCCTCTGTGTTGAAAGTGTTTTCCTTAGAAGTTACATCATGAGGTTGTTTTCCACTGGATCTTTTTCTACAGACCTACCTGCCCATGCCCTCATGTCCCACCCTCCCTCCAGATTTATTAGCCCTCACTTAAATATTATATATTTTGCACAATTCCTTGTTGAATTAAGTCTTCTAATCAAAGTGTTTCTGCACTTTCTAAACAGTATGTGAACTCACACCACCTCGACAAATTTCAGGTCTAATTTTTCATCAATATTTATGGTGAAAAAGCAACAGTTTTTAGGACTGGGTGTATGGTAGAAGTACTCTTATTTACTGCTGATACCACTTATAACAATGGTATGTAGTTTTCAACAGAGCCAGCTTTATCATAGTCTTGTACTGGCCATGTTCCCGTAGCTTGCTTGGAAAAAATCTTAAAAAACAAAAGCTGACCTAAAGCTAAGATATATGACATATTCACACACTTCTCTATTTACAAGATATATTACTTTGTCATAGAAAGAAATTAATACGTTTGATGCTACATGTTATTTATTAATTAATTTCTCCTACTTAATTATTATTTAATTGTTTTATAGATGCCTAATTTATTTCAATGTTTTCTGTCAGTGAAAGTTAAGTAGATAATCTATGGCTTCCAGACCCCTCTTCTTTTAAGGAGAGAAAAAACAACCATGATACTCTGCTGGACTATCTCTTGTTTCCAAGACAAAGGAAAGTGAACTGCTATTATTCCTGCATCACGAATCAGTTCCCTGTAGTTTATCTTTTCTTCTATACTTGAAGACTGGTTTAGGCTGATAATTTATGCCTCCTTCCTGTCACAGTCTGCAGATATTTTATGGAAGATGAAAGGTAAAAAATATACCAAATCTCTGCCTTTCAATGTCTTTTTGGCAAATCTCCTTCCTCAACAAGAAGCAAAGTCTTTGGTCTGATTATATTAATGGACTTGAGAAATGGAGGGTTTGGGCATTTTTGGTACTGTTTAAATTCCTCTAGGATCTCTGTGCCCTGTATACTGTCCTTGCTAACAGTATAATGTAGCTTTATTTTTCTGAACTGCTGGGAAAATGGTCTTTGGGTACAGCAGCACATGTACTTTCACCCTAGGAATATCCTCCTGCTGTTAAATAATGAATGATTTATTTCAAATGCTATAATATACTCACACTATAAGATGCAATGCAGTTAATTTTGTTTCCCTTATGGTGACAAGTGACATCCTTTGGTCTGTTACCTGAGGACTCTGTGCCTCTCTTTCTACAGCCAGAGAGTTCAGGTGTTTATAATCTCCAAGAAATTTTGACTGTGCTGAACTGACAATTTTTCTAGTGTTTGGGAAGGCCACCTTTCTTATTCAGTGAAGCCTCAGGAACAGACTTGAGGTGAATTTAATGGAGGACACATAACTCTGTAGTGTGCTTTGATCCCAGTAATCTGGTGCAGCTTCCCTTATAAGACAGTTACATTCATCATAGAAGCTGAAAATATTTGGATATTCCTGTGACACAGCCACCTTCAAACAGTACATAGGTAGGAACAATAGCAGTAGAGACATCACCATCTTAAATGAAGGAGCTAGTTGTACTACTTAGTTGACTTTTGGTCTGTTATATCTGTGTATAGAAGGAAGGAAAATCCTATTCCTGCTCAAATTTCAATGAACAGGAGTAGCTAAAAGGCAGTCTTTACATGTTCAACTCTTCCCAAGATGGGAAAGGTTTCTCTCAAACTTGAAGAGAAATGGCATATCACAAAAATTACACAATTTGACTCCATGTGGGAAAAAAAAGGCTTTTTCAAGTGGAGCTTTTGGGAATTTTTTTAAACTATTTTTTTCATATTTTTCCTATGTCTTACATAAGAATTCTGTGAGTGGGCTGTTCAGTTTGCTTCTACCCTTGGGAAGATGCAGCTACAAAACCTTTCCTAGGTACAGCTTCATTACAAGAAAAACTTTTTCTTCTCTGAAACAGGGTTCTTCAGGCAGGAAGCAAAGGATGTCTTCAGGAACTTGTATTTTGTAATGCTTTTTCCCATTACATCTCTTAAACTCTGGCATTTTTTACGTTTTTGGATGCAAACTTAGAAGCTCTTGATTTTG